AAATCAAACACATGAATTATATATTAATAATTATATTCCAAAAACTAATGATGGAAAACAATGGGAAAATTGTGTACGTTATATGATAAGTAATATGAATAATACACTTATAAATTGTCCAAATGGTTGGGTATATGATCGATCAATATTTGGATATACATTTACTGAAGAAGCTGATTTTGTTTGTCATAATGAATCAAAAAGAAGTTGGTTAGCTACTGTTATACAATGTAGTAGTTTTTTATTACTTATTATTGGTTCATTTGCTGATAAATATGGTCGAAAAAAAATGATTGTTATTGTTACTATGATATTATTTTTTACATGTCTTATTACTCAAATAATAATGCAATGGATACCAATGACAATAAAAACTAAGTAATATGATTTAAGATTACTTTAAAATAACTGAATTTTCTATTTAACTAGATTCATTGTTTTATTATTCAATCAATTTGCATCGGGTCTTGTCTGTTCAACTTATAGTTTAATATTTATTCTTGCACTTGAATTAACATCAGCAACATATACAGGTTTAGCTGGAAATTTAATATTTATTTCATGGACAATTGGTCAAATTATTGTTACTCTATTTGCATTTATAACATATGATTGGCAAAAATTAAAATGGGCTAATACAATTTTTATTGGTTTAGGTATACCATATCTTTATTTTATGCCTGAATCACCATTATACATTTATGCAAAAGGACAATATGTATTACTTGAAAATATTTTACGACAAATAGCAAATCAAAATGGACGAAAAGAAACTGATTGGTATATATATTATCAAGAATTTTTATGTAATCAATCAATAAAATTAACACATAAAAAACAATTAACATCTTTTCAAAAATCTTATCAATTAATTATAAATCGAACAACTATAATTAAATTATTATTAACAGCTATTATAGGTTTTACAACACTTATGATTTATATTAAAATAAGTTATAGTTTAGCTATGATGGATACATCACCATACTTAGGAATATTAATTGGTGCTATTGTTGAAGCAATTAGTTATATTACAAGTTCATTACTTATATCTAGTAGACTTGGTCGTAAAGGTTCATTTATATGAATGATGAGTTTAACAATGATTTGTATGATATTTATTCCAATAATTAAAAAATATAATTCAATAGCAAGTCTTAGTTTAGCTCAACTTGGAAAATATACAATATCTAGTACTACAGCTATAGCATGGATATTTGTATTAGAACTTTTTCCAACTTCAATTCGAAGTACGGCTAGTGGAGTTTTTATTGTATGTAGTCGTACTGGTGCTATAACAGCACCTATAATATATACAACAATTAGTAATAATTATTTATCATATACATTTTATGCATCAGCATTTTTAGCATTTGTTGTTCTTTTATTTTCATTAATGTTACCTGAAACAAAAGATAAACCAATGGATAATGTAACTGATTATACTACCAGTATAACTGATATTTAATAATAATCTCTTTGTATCTAAGTTTTTTTGTTTCTTTTTCTTATACATAAAAGTTTTCACTCATACACACAATAAGAGAAAGAAAAAAAAAAAAAGGCACACCTGTACGCGCAGTTCTTGTTTCACATATGGCAAGAAAGAACACAACAACAAAAAAAAAGTAAACAAATGTTATACTACATCCATCAATATAGAGATGTAGTTGAGAAAGTGCAAAGAACATAAACAAATACAAATAAACGATCTGACTAAAAGACCACAAAAAACACACCGAGATCTAATTCACCGTGTTTTTTTTTTCTTCTTTTCCTTTTCTTTTTTTTTCAAAATATATAAGACACGAGAAAAACTTTCTTTTTTTTTTTTTTTTTCTTCAAAACAAACACACTCACAAAATAAAAACTAAAGAGCAAATATGAAGACACTTTGTTTGTTCAGATATTTTTTTTGTTTTATCAAAACTAATCACTGCTCAATGGTTCAAAAACAAGAAAGAAAGAGAAAAAAAATATATATGTATAACCAAAACGAAAAAAACAAACAAACAAACATATGTACATTAAAATTTGAAAGAGATAAAATGTTTTATTCACTTGTATCAATCAATATTTCGACTTCGTTTTGTAATTGTCAATGATGTCATGTTATTATTAGTTTGACGATGAGTTTTACGATGAGCACGACATGCTCGTTCAGTTGTAAATGTCTAAAAATAATAAATATAATTTATAAAACATTTTCATATTTCAATAATATTATTATCATACTTGTGAACATTCATCAATATCACAGGAAAATTGAGCTGCAGGAGAACTATCACTATTCATTGTTGAACCATCATCATCCTAAACAATAACAAGAAAAATAAAATACCAAATGCTCTTAATACAATTTCTATAGAGATTAAAATGTAAAATATCTCATTTTAATTATTAAAAATATAAAAATACATACTAAACGAAATTCACTACACGATGGTGATGATGATATTTCATCATCGAATTGTTGTTGTTGTTTTGCTTTAATCATTTGATATCGTTTTCGTCTAGTCATGACACAACTTGTTCTTGTTGATACTATTTTTCGAGCAGTTTTACTAGTTTTTGGCATATAATGAAATTCAATACATTGTTTAACACTTTTTGTTCCAACCTGCAGATAGAAAATATAAGAAAAAAACAAAAAAAGTCATTATAAAGATATTTGTGAAAATAAAAAAAAAAACATGAAATAACATACTGCTTGACTAACAAGTTCAAAATTTTTTTCTGATGTTTGTATAGCTTTTGTAAAAGCATCAATTTCTTCTTTTGTCCATTTATCACAATCAAGAAAATGATAATAATGTATCGGTCGACATTGTTTTATATCTATAACTGTACCTTCAAGTAAAGCAGCTAATGTACGTGGTAAATCACCATTATATTCATGTAATAATATATAAATTAATTCAATTGAATATGATTTTGGTGAATGACGTGATGAAAATAAATATGGATTCGTTCGATTTAATTGTTCAAATTTTTCAAGAGATTTTTCATCAAGATATGATAATTCATATGGTGAAAATAATAATTCATCAGCAGTTACTAGAAGAAGAAAAAAAATTATAGAGAAAAAACATCTAAGATGTCAATCAAATGTTAATTATTCTTAAAATTTCTAACCATTCTATTGAAATTTTTATTAAGAACAAAAGATTTCTAAAAAAAGTCAAATAATAGAATTTTGATCTGAATGTATGTTCATAAGTATATCTAGTAATTCATAGAATATTCTAAAGAAATTCTTTTGTTCGATCGAATAGTCTTAATTATAAATTGTTAATTATATTAGTTTTAATGTTTTTTTTTTATTGTACAAACCTTCATCATCATCGTATAATTTTGTTCGAATTGCAGGAATTTTTGCTTGATATTCTGATCCAATATTAATTTTAGGACCTGCTGATTCTTCACCTATAGGTGTACATGGTGGAAGTGGTGTTGTTGGTATTGATGATGATTCTGTTGATGTTCCTGGTTGAGAAAAAACTCGATAATAAAGACCAGGACCTTTACGAAATGGACTAAGCATTGGTGGAGGTGTATATGGAGTTGATGGAGGTAGATTTAATGTTTTATTTGTTAAATTAAGACTTAATTGTCTTCGTAATTGTGATGGCCAATAGAATGAACTTGGAGTTGGTTCAGGTTTTTTTATTTGTGAAATTTCATCATAATTAAAATGTGTATTACTTGATGTTGATGATGATGATGATGAACTTATTGTACCAGTTGATGATGGTGTACCAATAAGAAAACCTGATTGTACTGTTTTTTTTATTGGTGTATCATTATCAGGAACAATGTTAAGTACAGTTAATGATGATGTTTCATTTTCGATATTTATTTGTAGTTTATTATCTTGTTTCATT